TCAAAGCTCTAGATTTGACAAAGTAACTTTAATCATGTTTAACAAACAGAACAGTGAAAATGAACACACTACAATGCGTTTGTGACAAAATGTCAACAATTTTATAATGAAATTCTCCATTTGGCTGCAATGATAACAAAAGACCCGCTATATAAGATCTTCAATGTTAAATGATGAGTGATGATGATCTATGGTGCTCTCAAAACATGCTAGCAGTTTTCATGCAAGTTGTGAAACACTAAAATGTGACACTGAACTTTTAAAATCTGTATCAATCAGACTTTGCAAAAAAAAAAAAAGTTATTAAATAAACATGGATGGTCAATGTCATGTTGCAATCTAGTCATGGAACAATAGCCGTTTTCAAGGTATACTGCAGTTTGAAAAAGTCAAAGTTTTTAAACCGCCAACTTTGCTATGGTATATGTAAGATATTTTATTTACCTTTAGTTTTTACCAACAGTATCTCCAGCAGAAAAGTCATTTTAAATTGTGAAGAAATCAGTGTTGAAAATAATGAAGATGGCAGAAGTCAATGATTTCTTTGAATTATTTAGCCTGACATAGAGCTGCACGATTAATCAAAAAAAGATTGTGATCTTGATTTGACCCCCTATCTGATCTTAAAACAGCATTTCTACGATTCTGCCAATCATATTTTCAAGTTCAGGGGAAGAGCAAAGGTGGCTGCACGAGTCTTTTCCCATTTTTCACATACGTTGCTCAGCGACATGGACACCTCCAAACGATGTTGAAAGAGTCACATGCTGTATTTATAAAGTATAAATCACCCAAAAATGTCATTTTTGTCTTTAAATAATTATGCATTCGCAGCCGTGAAAATCACACATAACTTGAGCGGCTGACAGTGAGCTGTTACCACAGAGAGGGCCCTACTTAATGTAGACGCACACACACGCGTGAACAGAACCTGCATAGGCTGTAAGTAACAGGTAATAAAGTTGTAAATAATATTCAGTTTGTGACACAGAGTAATCTTTTGAGAGCAGAGCGTGAAGTATGAACTGCACTTAGCAGTGAAAAAGAAACCAAAAGCGTGCACATCATTTAAATTTATCACATTTTAAGAGGTATTATGATAAGCATTTGATATGTTTTTCTTTCATAGCGAACACAGAGTTGTGCATGAAAATAAATGTTTACAGTGTCAGTATTCCTACTCTAGCCTATATAATCTGGAATATAATGTAAGAGGGAATATAATAATGACAAATGTCACCAGTGAATAAAATGGTCTAATAATGTTGTCAATGACAGATTGCAAGCATATGTCTTAAACATAATAATTCACCATCAGAATTATTATAAGTAGAATAGAATTGTTTATAGAAACCAGTAGACCTACACATAATAATCTCATTGTTTTTGAGAAAAAACAATAATAATTGCAGACTCATATTAACCTTTATTTTACAGATACAGAATCGTGAGAAAATAGTGATCTTTATTTTGAGCAAAAAGAAAAATTTGCAATTCTCATTTTAGCCAAAATCTTGCAGCTTTAGCCTGACATGTTTACTGCTCCGAAATATTTTAAATGTTTCTCAAAATAAAATATACTGTGTTCAAAAAGAAAAAAGTTGTAGTTTTTTATCCAGACATTTTTAAATATATTTAGAGCAGGAAACCCAATATATAAACCTTTATATTTGTATCCAAGGTTATCATACCGTTAGAGTCTTATACTGGCCCATGCCTAAATCGTACACACAACTGTGATGTCACAAAACTGCCTATCAGCATTACAACCTATTAAAGCCTGGTTTATACTTCTGTGTCAAGTGACCGGCATAACCCACAGCTCATGCAACGCTCATAGCTGTGCATTTATACTTCTGCGCGCGGTCTCCGTCGGTCTGCATTAACATTTCCGAAACGCTCGTCTGTGTAGAGTTTCTTTGCTGGTGTTTTGTTTTTTCTGAACGCTTCTTGAATGTTCAAGTGGCTCAAACTCACTCATTTTGAGGCAGTAACCGGCGGACATGCAACAACTATGAGGTAAACACAAAACAAAACTTTCCTTCCGGAGCTCCTTCATGGGACTCCACATTTGTAAACAATCGCTCCATCAGGCTCGCGCCTCTCGCACGGCTCTCTGTGCCACCCAGACTCGTTAGCGCTACCAAGCCGACCAATCCCAGAGCTTGTGCTACGGTCAGTGTGACGTATAGTTAAATTTTTTGAGATGTGCACGACGAAAGGCTATGTGTCAACACATAGGCTGTGCCGTAGCATACGTGTACGCTTGACGCAGAAGTATAAATCAGCCCAAACTACAGACTATTCTGCCACCTGCCTGATATGTTAGATTTGCCCCAATGTAATATTGCAATCTGACTTTTTAAACTTTTCTTGTTAATCCTTGTAAAGCAGCTGTGACACAAGCTACATAGTAAAAAGCATAATAGAAATAAAGGTGACTTGACTTACAGCAGCAGAATTTGTTAACTAGTCTTTTTTTTATATTTAAATAAATCATTTATAAGTTTTGACTGCAGTAAAATTCTTAAAATCAAGCAATTTGCAAAAGATGAAAAGGTAATTTGATGATGCTTCATGATGCAGTGTTTCCTTTTAAAGTCATTCTCAAAGAGTTCACAGTTGCAATGCCAGTCTGTTCCTTACACAAACCTAGCAATTCACCTTAGAAGACCCCAAACATAAATCTTTCATTAAGATTTAGAGTGTTTTATTTGTTCTTTTCATGCACCTTTTCAAATACACCACATGCTCTTGCAGATTTGAAACAGCATAAAGGTGTACAAATGATAGCAGAATTTGAATTTCTGTGCTATAGGTTAACTTGCCCTTTTAAATGTGCTGTATTTAAACATAACAAGGCACAATTAGAGCAACAAATTGGTGCACGTGGCCTGCATGTCATCTGTGATGACTTGTCTGTTTCATCAGCCACAGAGTAGAGCACACTGGTGCAGCATGTCACTTCCTTATAGAAATCATTCATTCATTCCTCAATGTCATTTCACAACACATGCCAAGCAAAATCTCTCTAGCTACAATGTGGGTCACATACAGGCCCTCAATGATGCTTGAAACTCATCTAATGTAGAACAGGGGCTTTCAACTCACTTGTGGGTGTGGGTGGAGGAAAAGAAAAGTGTACAATTTCCAGAAAGAGCTAACTGACTTCCTCGTGTCTGTGGCTAGTCAAATGAAAAGAGCTGCTATTATTACATCATGTTGTGCTGAAGTGATCTGTGAACCCTGACCGCCAAACAAATTTATGGGAGACATTCTTCGCATTTGCTTTTGTAGCGCACATATTCTATGGAAAGCTGCAAGACCTGACATAATTTCAAGGAGGGTGAACATTAGGTCATGCTGAAAAATCAAGCAGCTCCCTCACACTCTGTAATCCTTTATCGTGGATTAATGATAACAGCTTCACATAATGACTGTCTGCAATGACAGGTACAGGGATGAAACAATCTAAAACAAGCTTTTTGCATAAACAGGTTGATCGACCTTAAAACCCCCCACCGCATACCTAAACACAATAGAAACTAATGGAGCACAACACATTGTCCAAAAATAAATACTTTTCAAATAAACATTTTAGAAATATCTCCACACATTTGTTGGAAGAACTGGGTATTAGCTATTACTATTAACACTTGTTGGGTAAATAAAGTACAAAGATGTCTCTTTAATCCAGTAAAGTATAATAGCCAGAACAAAAGCTAAGTTTAACACTTGTAACTAAGAAGCAGGATTAGAAACACCTTTTTACCAGGGGCTATGAAACCATATACCCTGGAGCAGGGTGAAAGAGGTAGTTCACCCTAAAATGAACATTTCCTCACAGTGTAGAACACTTAAGCTTCTAAATGTTTGTGTTTGCAATTTACTTCTACCATTGAACACAAAACAAGATATTATAAAGAATACAGCCATTGACATTCATAGTATGAACAAAAGATACTATAGAAGTCAACAGCTGCTGTTCTGCTGTTCCCAACATTCTTCAGAATATCTTCATTGGTGTTTAACATAAGAAATAAACTTATAGAGGATAATAAAATGACTGCAGAGTTTTCAATTTATTTAGGTGAACTAATACTATCGTTGTGTTGTTAACCCTCCATTAGAGTAAAACCCAAGTGCATGTTACTATGCTACAGCCAGATGCTCAGCAACTGAAAGCCAACAGGGTGCCTCATTTTTACATCCTTTGAACAATAATGAAAGCACAGTGTCATTTAACATTTGAAGGGAAGTTTCCCAATGACACTGAAACAACAAATAAAAACATTAACCCTGAGTTTATAAATTTACAGTGCTAAATTTACAGAAACTGTGTACACACGGGATTAATTGTTAACCTTGGGTATATTATGAGCAGTGTGAAATGTGAAGAAAGATGTCCAGGAATCGGACTACATGTGGTTTAGAATGACCCAGGGTTAAATATTCAAATCAACCATTTCAAATTAAATATTCAAATTAACTATTTGAAGTGTGAAAAAAAATGTAATGCTTAGTTATAAACAAGGCTTTGTCGTTTTAATTGTAAAAGGCAGAACATAACACAAAATTAAAATTTGATTAAGAGATATGCATAATGCATAACCGTGTACAACAGAAAATTGACCAGAATAACAACTTCCTAAAAGCCTCCTAATCTTGTGTGTGATGTACATAATTTCTTTAAACTTCTCAACATTCACATCCATTTACAATTCAGGTGCTTCAAGCCACTTTGAATTGCATGCCAGTTTATAGGTTCAGTCCCTTTGCAGCAGCCTGACGTTAGTGATCAAGGACATAGAGAGGGGGGAAGCACCTTGGGAGATGTAAGCCAAGCAGCGAAATTTGAAACATTAAACCACATAGCACACTTGCTATAGTTTATTTACAACCCAAAAGTCTGCCTAGGGGTCATGAATTGAATCAAAACATTTGGTCTTGTCCAGCCACGCTGTCGTTAGATATCTATTTAAAGGTTTTAATCAGCTTACCAGATTGAAGATCGTCTCCACGGTGTCCCGATTGGAGACTTCACCAGCCTCCAGGAGTCCGGCCAGCACGGCGAATTTCATGCGGATTCCTCTAATGGGGATCTGGACGGCGCTGTCACCCGCGCTCGCCATGGCGGAGTCAGGTGAGAGGGGAACAGGTGGGACACCTGTTTGACCCTGCCGCCTAGTTAAACCTATGGGATACTATATGGAAAATGTGGCTCGTTAAACTAACAGCGGGGGAAAACAAATCCCGGTCCCCATTAACGGCCGGTTTGTCCTGTAGTTTCTTGCGTTTTCGCCTGAAGTTGTTGGCTGATGTCACTACACCTGAAAGACAGGAATTATTCTTGTGTAGAGAGGGAGAACAGATCTAAACTTGAAAAAAAGCAGGACGAAACCACGCTGACACGAGTCCAGATAAGAATCCAAATGCTTGTCAATCTCCGCTGACCTAATAAAGAAAAGCCGTTAAACGGTAACGTCATTGAAGTTTTTGCGAGTGTTTGTCAAACAGGAAATAGCGGTGCTGAAGAGATTCCGCGCAGGTAGACGACCGATAAGAACAAGACGCAGAAAACTATAAAATATAAGGCAACGGATCTCCGGCATCGGCCCTCGGGTGTCCCTGCAAAGAGAAGGCAATCCTCTTGGTCCCTGTGAGAAGTGTTGACGTGAAGTTTGAGCGGTAACCCACTTTACAGCGCCATCTCTTCCTGAATCAGCTCCTACTCCGCTCGGTCTCCGCCATGACAGTGGAGCTGCGTGAGAGAGATCCGCGCATGCGCAGTGTGCTGCGAGAGCAGCGAAGGGAGGGCTCAGGTGTGTCAGGTACAGACTACACTTAAAAGCCTGTAGGGACAGAATGACACTTCATACTGAAGATCTCGTTTCAAGCGCGCGCTGTTATGGTGCTGCTTTAATGCACACTGTAAGGATCACAGAGACATCTGCAGGACAGAATAGTAAGTCCAGCTGCAGCATATTCACCATAAAGGGTGACGTGCATCAAAATTGATCGACTGCTACGGAAGAATTATTCATCTAATAATATTGTATACTGTGAATAAAAAGCAAACAGAAAACACAAGCAATTAATATATTTGTACTTCACTGATCAGGTCAAACAATTGCAAATCTAGAACATGGCAAAAGAATGATGCTTAGTTTTAAGAATCAGAAAATCTGAAGCTTTATTCACTGCAAAAAATGCTTTTCTTACTTAGATTTTTTGTCTTGTTTCTTGTCCAAATATCTAAAAACTCCTAAATCAAGCAGAATTGTCTAGACAAGCAAAACATACTGTCTTATTTTTAGATATAATATGCCAAAATTAAGTGAGTTTTTCCTTAAAACAAGTTAAATAATCTGGCAATGGGGTAAGCAAAATAATCTTATGTCAAAAGGAAAAAAAAAGATTATTTTGCTTACCACATTGGCAGATTATTTTGCTTGTTTTAAGGAAAAACTCACTTAATATTAGCATGAAAACAAGACAATATGTTTTGCTTGCCTAGAAAATGCTTCTTGATATAAGAATTTTTAGATATTTGGACTAGAAACAAGACAAAAAATCTAAATAAGAAAAGCATTTTTTGCAGTTTTCGATATATACCAGGGTTTCTGAGAGGCTTAAAAGGTCTTACATCCTATTCACAATAAATGAGGCAGTTTTATGCATTTGCAACAACATTATAATTTAATATCGAGGCTAGATCCTATCTTACTTCCCCTCACAAGAAAGTACTCAGTAAGCCAGGGTGGAAAAAGTGTTTCAGCATATCATAAAAAAGCAAAGGAAGCATTTATAGGCATGCATGGAATATAGCTTGTCCAAGGGCTACTCTTTGAAAGTTGACGAATGCCAAGTATAAATATGCAGTTCACCATTTAGTAAACATGAACATGTGATGAGAGCTTGTTTAGTAAAAATGTACTTTGTAATAATGTGAATCCTTTCTGGAAGGACGTAAGATCAGAGTGTCTCTGATGATAGGAATATAGCAAAGTTTTAGAGACAGCATTATTTTACTTTGTCTTTTGTTTTTTTATGTAAGAGTGACCTGGGGGAAGTGAAAGTAGTCTCTAGTACGGCTGCAGGTAGCATTACTACATAAGAGGTTCAACAGTCAATAATTCAGCTTAAGGAAGGGAGAACTGGGGCTTCAAATCTAATTTCTGTTTAAAATGAAGACTTTTGCTTCTTCATATGATACACATGTTGTTGCCAGAGTCTATGTTGTCAATTACTTTTTTACCTGTTATTAAAGTAAAAAAAAGAAAAAAGATGTATTTGTTTGCTGTTTTTAATGTATATTATCTGGTTTGGGTTCTATTGTGTGGGTTTGTTTGATTTTTGCTAGTGGATCCTGAGGCAGAAAATAAAAGCTGAAAGAATACAAAAAAAATGTCCATCTGAGTTTTGGTATAAATACAAGTTTTCATTTTCTTGTGGCTTTGTCCCTTTATTAATCAGGGGCCACCACAGCGGAATTAACTACTTATCCAGCATATGTTTTTACGCAGCGGATGCCCTTCCAGCTGCAACCCATCACTGGAAAACACCCATACAATTTCATTCTCACACATACACAATGGACAATTTAGCTTACTTAATTCACCTATACCACATGTCTTTTCACCCATGCAAACACTGGGAGAGCATGCAAACTGCACACTAAAATGCAAACTGACCCAGCCGAGGCTCAAACCAGCGATCTTCTTGCTGTGAGGCAATTGTGCTACCCACTGCTAACACTGCTCACTTTCTAGTTCATTAGCAAATATTTGTTCTTGTTTTAATAATTAACTCAATTCATTTTGATCACCTTCTCATAAGACTTCTTATCTCATGTAGTTTTGCTTTCCTGATTAAGTGCATATTTATTTAGGAATCTCAAAAGTAGAAACATTCCTTTTTTACAGTGTGATGATAAAAGTTATTATCAAATTCTTGTGTTTTGTAACATTCATTCATTCATTTTCATTTTGGCTTAGTCCCTTTTAGGGGTGGAAACTGGAGCACCCGGAGGAAACCCACGCGTAAGCAGGGAGAACATGCAAACTCCTTTCAAAAACACCAACTTACCCAGCTGAGGCTTGAACCAGCAACCTTTTTGCTGTGAGGCGACAGCACTACAGTACCTACTGCGCCACAGCGTTGCCACTTGGGCAATATTTTAAAGGAATTTAAGTTTAAAGCAGCCAGGGCTAATCATTTGGACTCCATTTGGACACTGGGAAAGTTTGGGAACATATTTAATAATAATATTGCTATATATATTTATTTTATTTTAATAAAATGAATTTAAAAACAGCTTAGATTATAAGTATAATTTTTCTAAACACATTTTTCAAACAAATCCTTTTTTTTTACATGGAACCAATAGGTTCTTTAAAACCAGTAATCAAAGATATAAATTGCTCATTAACGTCTAAAATCTAAGACCATGGTTTGATTTTAAGGTTTCAGGAACATAACAAAAAATGTCCACATTTCTTTTTCCTGAAACTTAAATAAAAATGTTGGTTCTAATTTATTCACCCACATTCCAACCTGTATGACTGACATAACTAGATACTATCTCCAATGATTTCAATAATCTTCTTTATGAAGAAAGAAATGCAGTAAATAGTATATGTATACGCTATTAATTAAAGTCTAGTTTAAATAATCAATGTTTTTTTTATGTGTTTACAAATAAAGAAGATGAAAACAAATCAGACTTCTACTATGTGTGCTGGACTTCTAATTAACTTCCCTGACTGTAACTCACATTAAGTGCAACATCAGCATCAAACGATAAAGAACTACCTTATTCTCTCTATATTTAGATACATTTGAAAGAAAATATCGAGTTTGCATGTTCTCCCTGTGTTCGTGTGGGTTTCCTCCAGTTGCTCAGGTTTCCCCCACAGTCCAAAGACATTTGGTACAGGTGAATTGGGTAGGGTAAATTGTCCGTAGTGTGCATGTTTGTGTGGATGTTTCCCAGAGATGGGTTGTGGCTGGAAGGGCATCCGCTGCGTAAACCTTGCTGGATAAGTTGGCGGTTCATTCCGCTGTTGTGACCCCGAATTAATAAAGGGACTAAGTCGATAAGAAAATGACTGAATGGATGAAAGAAAATATCTGTCACTTGTTATGACTTTAAAGAATGATGAATTTTTCTCCCATTGAACTAAATTTGAGTTTTAATCTGTTACTCATATTGTGATGCATAGATGAATAATATGTCAAATTATTACTCACAAAGAACATATAACATTGTTATGTTGAATGTAAATGTTAAAATTTACCATACACTCACAGATTATTAGTTTATACAGAGGTTTTGAATATTACTGCAATAAATGTTCCCACTATCTCATTATATTTAAATTGTGGCTTCATGGCCCTTATGAGTCGTTTCCAGGGAGTCGGCAGTGCATTGAGTTTGTTGACTCTATATTAGCCTACAGTCTCTCAGGGCCACAGAATTAAAGGTCTAGACCAACGAAGAACATTTAGTCTCACAGCCACGGAATGCTACACTGGTTTTATATTGAAGACTGCCACACAGTCACACATTTGAGATAATAATTACAGAACTGAATCACCACATTTTTTCTACTTTATTTTTCTCACCAAAGTTTTACTTGTGCAGCTATTGTGAGTGAACAAAATGTAAGCTTTGTTCTTGGATTTCTAAATGTCTGATGAAAAATAATGCTTTGAAATACACTGAAAAAAGTGGTTCATTGCAAATTGTTGCAAACTATTTTTATAAGCTGATTTTCAAACAAACAAAATAAGTTGAACATTACTACATTTGTTTGTTTAAATTCAACCCCTTACCTTAATGGTAGTGTAAAATAGTAGCATGAGCAGTTTCCATTGAAACCAATGCAAATCCAATGCAGTATAATGTTTCTATATACTGCAAAGTAGACTTGCTACTATAATAAAACTATTTGTATACATTCATTAATTTTCTTTTCAGCTTAGTCCCTCCATCAATCCAAGGTCACCACAGCAGAATGAACCGCCAACTTATCCAGCATATGTTTTACATAGCGGATGCCTTTCCAGCTGCAACCCATCACTGGGAAACATGTCTTTGGAGTTGTGGGGGAAAACGAAGCTCCCGGAGGTAACCCATGTGAACATGGGGAGAACATGCAAACTTCAAACAAAATGCCAACTGACCCAGCCGAGACTCGAACCAGCAACCTTCTTGCTGTGAGGCGAGATTGCTACCCACTGTGCCACTGGGTTGCCCGCTAGTATTATAAAAAATTTAATAATTTTTTAAAAAGTTTCTACAGTTTAAAAGATTTCCGACACCCTGCAAAAAATCTTTAATTAGGGTATTAAACATAAATGTACAATGTTCACAATTTTTTTCAGTTCAGCTATCTAGTCAATTGTTATGATGTGACCCTGTTGTTTCACAAAATGTTTATAAAAGTTTTTTTTTTTTTTTTTTACTTTAGACAGCTAAATGTAACTTACAATGCATATATAAGGTAGTTACAATGAAGGATACTTAGGCAGTAGCCATACATATATGACATGTTGCCTCACCCATTATTATTAACTGATTTAATAACGCTTTAAAAATAATCATTTTTCTTGACGAGGAAAATGTGAACAAGAAGTTTTGAACATGAAAGTGACTTAATCAAAAAAACAAACAAACGTCTAAAAATGATGAAGTGAAATAATACACGTAAACACCAGAAGGCGCAGTTTTGCTTAGCACAGCGAGGTTTGTGAAATCTCGCGGGGTTTGCCTAGTCCCGCTGTATCTTTAACTCTCGCGGTATTTCCTCACTTCCTCCTCTTTTACTCCCTGTGTTCAACATGGCAGTCGGCAAAAATAAGAGGCTGACCAAAGGTGGCAAAAAAGGTGCCAAAAAGAAGATGTAAGTCGCAAATGAGTCTTTCAGTTGTGTCTATACAGTGTAATAAGTGATACTGGAGGACATTTGATTTGTATGGGTGCAGGATGTTATCGATATAGAGAGGATCTTGTGTAGTGGTTATGCTAGTCACACTGGCTCATAGGCGGCCCTTGTATTATGCGTGCTTTAGTAACTTATGTTTAGAGCTCGGTAAAAGCTAGCGCTGTTTTCTAATGTTCTCGTTTTACAAATATTATAAAGCGTTCATTTGGTCAAAAATACGCACGGCAGACTGATGTCTCTAGCATTATGGGCCATTGAAAGCGCTAACTTAAGTTACTCTACTGACTGTAGACTTCTAGTGACCCATGTGTTACAGGCTTAAAGGTGTTATGAAGCATTTAAGACATTACATAATATTTGTTAAATTTCTTGATGTAATATTGAGGCTTCGTTGAAACATAAGCTTGTTAAATGACTCTCAGAAATGTAACGTTATTGACAAGTGTGTTTTCTCTTGCAGTGTGGATCCTTTCTCCAAGAAGGACTGGTATGATGTCAAGGCACCAGCCATGTTCAACATCCGCAACCTGGGCAAGACCTTGGTCACCAGGACTCAGGGAACCAGTAAGTTCTTTTACCATCTTTATATGTTTTCACACAGCTTTAGGATGCATTGTTAACCCTGATGGGAAAGGGCAGATCTTGTTGAAAATTAGGTGCCATGTTAATAAAATTGCATGTTTATATATGATGACTTGTATTTGACTGGAACTTTAGCTTACTTTGATTGTAATGTGCACCTTTTGTAAAGCACTTTTTACAATAATTATTGTTTCAAAGCAGCCTATCAAATATACTTTAATTGAATGTTGTGTCCCAATTGTTTAATACAAATCAAACTTTGTGCTGGATTCCAGTGGCAATACATGATGACTGTATTTTTAGTCTCGGATGAAATATCGTGATTGCTGTCATGAGATCACCTGACATTGCCATCATTAATTCATTAATTTCTTTTCGGTTTTGTCCCTTTATTATTCAGGGTTCACCACAGTGGAATGAACACATTGCCATTAGGTCCATGTAAACTCTAACACTCATTGTCTCTGTAATGTAGGAATTGCCTCTGATGGTCTGAAGGGACGTGTGTTCGAGGTCAGTCTGGCTGATCTGCAGAACGACGAGGTGGCCTTCCGCAAATTTAAGCTGGTCACAGAAGACGTGCAGGGCAAGAACTGCCTCACCAACTTCCACGGCATGGACCTCACTCGTGACAAGATGTGCTCCATGGTCAAGAAGTGGCAGGTAAAAGAGGGAAAACTGTACAGGTTATTTATTTTTCTGGGCTTAAAAGGCGGATTTCTTTTTCTCCCTTAATTTAAATGCATGTCGTAAATTTAAAGTCATGGCATTCAATGTTACTTGCATTGGGGAAGAAAAAAAAATACCCTTTTATGCTGACAAACATCAGTTGATTTTTCCATTAAACTTTGACTTGATTTTTCTGAGCCTGTTTGAAGATGCCCTTATTGAGCTTGCTATGTGTTTTTTTCAAGTAGTGGCGTATGTAATTTCACTTGTGCAAGCTTGTTGCTTTTGCAATATAATGGTATCTTCAAATTGAGATGGTAAAAAGAGTTAAAAGTGTAGATCAGTACAGTTATATTTTGAAGTGATTATTCAAGGTATTGTATTTCTCTCTAGACTTTTATATTGAGCTTAGTGACGTTTGCTAGTTTATTGTTACTTTGTATTTAATCTGCCTTTCCAAAACCTTCTAAATCGTTAAAGTGACTCGCTGTACAATTCACTCACTTCATTTATGTGTATTAGATTGTGTTTTTTAGTCTTCAGAAATCATGAGCAGAGAAGTCTTGTTTCTCTGTGATCTGAAGTAAAGTTTAGTAAACTGCTAAATCACTTGAAGAGCTGTGGCCAATAGAAGCTAATATATGTGAATTGCCAACTCTATTGGATTAAAACTGCACATCTGTGTTTGTGGTATTGCAGGAAAACCAAATATAGTATGTATTTTCTTTTTATTTAATCTGAAATTTTGCATATAAAAAGACCACAGTGCATGATGTCATTTTCAGCATCCTAACATTTTGCATACCTTAAAAAACGGCTAGTGTGCAATTTAACAGCAGCAATGGTTTATTTTATTTCTTGCAAAAATGTTAAAAACATGTGCTAAGTTTCACCTTAAATTACACCTTAAAGTTTTAAGACTGTTCTATGCATTTTTCTTATTGGAACAAAATAAGTTTATTCAAATTGCATATGTTTTTTTTTTTTGTTTGTTTATTTTTAGACAATGATTGAGGCCCATGTTGACGTAAAGACCACTGATGGATATCTCCTCCGCCTGTTCTGCGTGGGCTTCACCAAGAAGCGCACCAACCAGATCAGAAAAACCTCCTATGCACAGCACCAGCAGGTCCGTCAGATCCGCAAGAAGATGATGGAAATCATGACCCGTGAGGTCCAGACCAACGACCTCAAGGAGGTGGTCAACAAGCTGTACGTATAATGTTCTCCTCATCCGTGGTCAGGATAGTCAGGTCTGCAAAGTTCAGCCTTAATTTAACTACTAAAATGGCGAATCAAGCTCCTCTGGCTTACTGATGGATTATTGGTGGGTATGTTCACATTTAAACTGCAGTCAGTTGGTCCTTTAGGAATGGTGTTTTTAGATTCAGTTTGACTGATCTAGAGATTAAGTGGTCACAGTTTCTTAACATTTTCTAGTTAAAACTGTTGGACAGAGTCAACTTTTAATTACTCTTAACCTAAATAGTAACCTTTTATGAATCTGTGTAAAACTATTTTTCCTCTTCTGTTGCACAGGATTCCTGACAGTGTTGGCAAGGACATTGAAAAGGCCTGCCAATCCATCTATCCTCTACATGACGTCTACGTCAGGAAGGTTAAGATGCTGAAAAAGCCCAAATTTGAGCGTAAGTCACTTATTTAAACACATGGTCTGTTTAGGTTGTTTTAAAGTGTTAGTTTACCTAAAAAAATCTCATGATTTACTCAACCTCAAGGCATTCTGCATGTACATGGCTTTGTCAAATTTATGTTGAAAATTATATTTGACCTTTTCTGCCCTACAATGGCAACTGGTGTTCATTTTTTCAGCAGTCCAAAACATGTCCAACAATGCACATTCATCCATAATTAAAAGGGCCTCATATGGCTCTGGGGAATGAATAACGTTTTCCAGTAGCAAAGGTTTTGTAGCAATGTTCATAGAAAGAGCTCTAAATCATTTGGTGTCATATTTGGCGAGTGGACTTCATTCATTGGATTTGCTGTGACTAACCCTACCATCTGGATCTCTCTGCATTTTGTTTGTATCCTCTGCATTTCAGTTTTTCTCATCTGTGCATATGCTTTGCTCTTGATGTAAAAATAAACAGTCCTATCCAGCTGGTTGTGCTAAATGCTCCACAAAAGACTTCGACTGCCAATTGCTGGAGGTTACTTGTTTAAATATGGGTCTTTTTCTTACTTGAACGCATGGATTTGCTATATGCTCTGAGCCATTTAATGCACTTGTGAATGGGTGCATTTTTCTTTTTGACTGCTAATTCTTTTTTTAATTAAACAGTTACTTCTTGCCATAGTAGGAAAAAAAACAAATATATTTGACATTGACCTTTTGCATTCCTTTGGTGTGAGAATCTTGGGATAATACATCTTTGGGGGTGAACTAACCCTTTAATAGCAATGTTTTGTTTTTATATATGGGGATATTTTCATAATTTGCATTTTAAACTGTGGGGTTTAAAGATAATAATGCTTTTCTGTTTGTCTAAGACTAAATTATTTTTGTTGTACAGTTGGTAAGCTGATGGAGCTGCATGGTGAGGGTGGATCCACCAGTGCTGCTGCTAAACCTGCAGAGGGCGACACTGGGGCCAAGGTGGAGAGAGCTGACGGATATGAGCCCCCCATCCAGGAGTCTGTCTAAAACTCCCAACACAAACAGCTGGTGTCAATAAACATGTAAATTTGAGCCTTTGTGTGCTGAGATCTTTTTTTCTTTTTGATTTGTGTGTAAACTTTCATATTCCTAGTCGAAAATAGCAAATTTGACAGTCAAACATTTGTGCTACGTTAATTGAAATTGGTTGTACTGTTAAAGTGGAGCTTGAAGTTTTTGAACTCTTCAGGCTGCTTTACTATAGAGCATGAGTGTCAAACTCAATTCCTGGAGAGCTGCAGTCTTGCAGAGTTTAGTTCCAACCCTAGTTCAAGCCTAAAACACTCATTTAGTTTACTCTGGTATGTGTAATTAGGGTTGGAACTAAACTGTAGAGCTGAGTTTATCCGAAAAGTATCAACCATTACAATGACCACACAATGCATTTTAGCTTAATATGGTTTTATTTGTGGGATTAATTTTTGAAATGTTATACTTTAAACAAAAGTTTAAGAAATGTAATTATATACCTCAGGACTTTGCTACATAGCAAAGTTTATCATGGAAACCATTTGAAAAGCCTGCAAAATAGTTAGTTGAATACTGTGTTTTTTTATTTTGCAGGAACATGTATAAATTGCTTTGAGTTAAATATAATTGATTAAATAAATGATTACAAAAGGGATCATAAATTACTTCTCTACATATTGTCAGCAATTAAGATTAGTGGATGTGGCTATCTGCAAGTAAATAACTAGAGTACCTACAGTTAATGTGAGACGAAGAATACACTAAGATTCTGTTTTACTTTTTAAAATATTAATATTTTGTAACAAAAGTAATGGCTGATCATTACAACAGTTTTGCCAATTAGATGCAGTACTATTACACCTTTTCACCACACGTTCAAAGCCCCCAGACAAATGTCCAACTCGTTCTTGTCTTCAAAAGCCTTCAGGAAAACTAACAGTATTGTCTGCTTTTTCAGGCCAAACTCAATCTAGCATCACATTAAGACATTGATCAAATAAGTTTTTGTTTTAAATCAAATTTCAGTGACCAGTCAAATTACTAGTCGCTAAACCCTTGAATATTAACCCTCAATTAAAGCATTCTCACAACTCTCCAAATAATTGACCAATTAGTATAATTTGAGCAGCTTTTTTCCAGTCGACAATTCAATGGTGTTACAATTTAGCAAAATCATATATTGTGCATATTAGTAGTTTTAACATATTACATCACTGTTAAACAGACAGACCTAATAAGTAAAGAAAAAAAGAATTTCGGACACCACAAGTTACATCTTATTTTAGTTTACATTTTTATATCCCTCAGCTCTTGCTGGAATTTCCTCGAGGTGTTCCTTTATTGCTAGATTTATTTCTGTGTCTAGCATCTGAGATTAATCTTATCAGTATCTGAGCAAGGAAAATATGATTATGATAATACAACTAAAAACTCATAATAGAACAATAATTATTGTGCGTTATAGTATATTACTTTATAATATAATACATATATTAGTACAGTACTTCTTGTATTTAAGCTAAGACCATAGGTGAAAGATCCTAAAAAATCTGGCTTTACAATCACTTTATTTACAAGGCACTTTATAAATAATTTGTCATTTGGCAAAAAATATAGTGTATTTTATAAAGATAAACGCAAAACTAGACAACATTCATTTTAGAAAATGTTTTGTGTAACAAAAATATTACAAAATGATGCATATGCCTGTATAGATATTATGAAATTTTTTTTTTTCACATTTCCCTTAAAAATCGTAATTGCTGAGCGCGATAAGCCTAGCTTTTGTCACGTTAAAATTTCTTAATAAACGACTGTGGATGGGATAGTTTTAGGCCAACGTCATCTTCCCCGGATATGCCCTCTTTTTGGGACTAAAAAAGCGTCCAGTCTGATTTCAAAATTCCCTAAAATGTTTTTTTTTTTTTTTTTGGCTTTCAGTCGTTTTTTTCTGCCTATGCCTAACCCTAATTGTAATTTATATATGTATATTTTTACAAAAAAAAAAAAAGTTTTGTAAATTAAATTGTAGGACGTTTTGAGCGCTGTCTTGTTAAGAATATGGAATTGTATATAAATAACTTCTTAATCTCTTGTATAAATTCAGCAAAACATGTTTGCATTTTGTATTTATGAGTACAGAACATAACAAAAAAATAGGTGTATTATAAAGCAAGCAATTATAATTTGCATTAAAAAAAATTATAGGCTACATTTTTTATTTATTTTAAAAATTCTAGCTTTAAACATTGTAATTTGCAATAGTTTTACATTTCTTTGTCGGCCGTGCCTAGTTGCGTGTCAGTGAAAAATGTTAAACCCTAAACATATATATATTTTTTAATATTTGTTTGTTGTTTTTTGGTTTAGTTTAAGTTACTGTCCAACAAGTTGTAAGTGCAGGCGCTTCGTGACGTCAATTTTAGAACCCTCGTTCTAGAATGCATATGCTGTAGGTCACCTCCAGCTTCCATCAGTTGGTGTACAGTAGTCGAGCAGTAGTGATTGCAGATTTATTTCTGATTTATTATTGTCGATTATCTAGCGATTGATTAAACGATGAGGCTTTTTAGACATTATCGAGTACATCCAATGGTAGAGGTGCAGGAACCCCATTCCACTGCACCTGCACCACCCAACCCTGGCATTGATATGGAGGTCCAGGATGATCGTCCAGAAACTCCTGTTGAAACTCCTGTTGCCGGCGAGGGAACGAAGAGAAAATTGTGGAAAGTTGGATCTTTGTTTAAATGTCCTAAAGGACATGCAAAGAGCACCTCGGGTCACCAGCAACAACTGAGTAAGTAATGTCTGCAAAGCGGGAAAAAGAGGGGGGTCAAAACGTCATAAATCAACTTAATAAAGTACTGTTGAAAAATGTATATTTGTTTTACAACATAGACTATTAAAACTTTAATCATCACCAATTCACATATAATGGCTGTCCCCTTCATATGGTATGTATGTAAAGCTCAAAATGGTCCTGCGGTGTATCGCTAAAATCTGAGTCTGCGACCGGCTGCTGTTTAGCGGGTAACCGCGCCTCGCCTTTCGACGTTACTCATTATGACTCCATGTTTTGAATACATATTAAAACATAAAGATTAATTAAATTCCACTCACTTTATATAAATATTTTAAACCAAAAACTGCAGAGTTGCCTACCGATTGTAATCCAGAACCAGGTTTTTAGTTAGAGCCCCTATATAGTTATAGGCTCAACTTAGCTAAGCTATTTTGTCAATAACATAAGAAACTATTCAAACGTGGTAAAATAGCATAACAAATCAGCTTCTCTTAATGTATACCTTATATTAATTAATTACTCAATATTTTTTTCCTTAAGCATGTTCAATCACCCTTATACAGAAAATGTAAATAGGCCTAACGTTAGCTGAAAACTATTCTGCAAGTTTATTTGTTTAACAAAAATGTTAATTAATCTGCTTTTCTGGTTTGATTTATACAAAACTGTTTATGTACACATTTTAAGCAAGTACATTATAAGTAACTATTCAGATTACCTGAAAATTAAAAGTAAGCCCTTACCATACGTTTTAGCAGAAAGGTCATTTAATTACACTACAATTACAATTACAGCAGTTTTTAACCGATTACACCTGACACTGCCCACGAAAAGGTAACACTGACACTATCCCACCCTCGCTTGATGTCAAAACTAAAATCTTTTTTTAAATAATATATTGCAAGGGAAAAAGACTTACTACTTTGTCTACTTTACTGACTTTACTACTTTGTCATTATTTGTTTTTTAATAAACTCCTCTGTCATCTTCAAACTAGACACTCGTCCAAGTGATGAGGCTCCCGTTGAAGCTGGTGAGGAAAACAAGGAAATAGAGAAAGTGAAGGAGAAGAATAGGAAGAAATGGTGGAGAAAATTCTTCAGATTTCAGAAAAGCAGCTCAAAGCGAGAGCAGCAGAAGAGTGAAGCCCATGAACCCGAAGAAGACAAGAAGGAAGCTCTTACCTTTGAAGAGCAAGAAAATGAAAAACTGAGGACAGCAGTATCCAGTGATGGTAAGTGACATGATCATGTCAGAAAGCATCATTTATACCCACATTTCAATTTCAGTTCAGTGATTTATTAAAGTATTCACAAGTAAAAAGCAATTCGTTTTATGGGATTGCAAAATTAAATGCTAATTAGTTTTAATGCCTTTTTCATCACAATTTAACAATAGTTCACCCAAAAATCATCATTCACTCTCCTTTGAATGGTTATAAACTAGTTTGTTTTTTTCTGTTAAACACAGAGGAACTTGTATTGAAGAATTATGGAACCATAAACATTGACATTTCATGGTATTTGTTTTTCCTACTGTAGATGTCAGTAGGTACAGGTTTCCAACATTGTTCAAAATATCTTCTTTTGTGTTTAACAGATTAATAAAAAACCTCAAACTGGTTAAAAACATTTTCTATTTTTACTCTTTATTTTCAGTTTATTAAAAACAGCCCACACACATACAGTATCGCCTAAAAAACAAGAAATAGATGGATATTACTGTATATCAAAGTTCTCTTGGATGTACTCTATCACAGTGAATTTAGCTTACTACATAAAGGAACTCAAAACACTTAAACTTCCGCCCCACCCATCTAACATTGATCAAAATGTTTGTGGAAGGTTTATGAAAACCAAACTAAAAGACATATAATACATGTATAACATTTACAATCATAATATGGAATTGGCTGGGACAAAAAAAAATATTGAAGCAAGGTGTACATGGACAATTAAACCAAAAGAGAAATTATAAAATAATTATAGGATAATTATTAAATAAATTACATTATTAATAATATACAATAGTCTTGTAATAGTCTATATCTGTTCAGTCTGTCTGCAAAAATAGTATGAATGGTGGCCAAATCTAGTTAAAAATGGACAATTCGGATTATAAATGGATTATAATGTCACTGAAATTTTAGAAAAATTAATAATTTTGCATTGACTGAATTTGTTTTTATGCTTTAAAAGACTCCAGTTTGACCTCTCGAGAAAAGCTCCTGCTCAGAACATATTTGAACTGCAGAACTAACTCAGAGGAACTAGACAATCATGCAAATGATGAGGCTCCTGTTGAAGCTGCTGAGGAGAACAAAGAAATGGAGAAAGTGGAGAAGAAGAAGGAGAAGAAGAAGTGGTGGAGAAGATTCCTAAAGCGTGCTAAGCCTGAACAGCTGAACTCTGAAGATCATAAGTGGCAAGATTCACCAAGATGGACACCAAGATCCAGTGATGGTAAATGCTCTGATCGTGTTACATTCATTTGTTTAATATAGTTTTTTTACAGCTCTGTATATAAGAAAGATGTTTTAAATGCAGATGACTTATATTCAGCCCACAATTTATATGGCCAAACAAGTTAAATGGAACATTATTCAATTTATTTTGTTTGTTTAAATTCAACGCATATAAATTGTTTGCAGCCAGTCACCTTAAAAAAATAGTTTTTTTCAGTGTACCCACATTGCTTTAAAGAGATAGTTCACCCAAAATGATAATTTACTCACCATTTGCTCACCCGCAAGAAGTTCCATCCTTTTATGAGTTTATTTCTTCAAAAGAAGTTATCTTCACCTGACGTCGCAATCAAAATAGAACTAAAGATTAATGTCTTATAACGTTGTGTGGC